GGCCCGGCCGGACGGCCGCCTTCCCGCAGGGGCCGGACGGGGCTCCCTCCCGGGCCGCGCTGTCCTCCGGCCCCGCTTTGGATGGCCTTGACCGACGCCAGCCGCGCCTTGCGGGGGCCGCGTTCAGAGGAGGACCGACCCGGGTCTCCCGGACCCTGATTCATAGGGTTGGGATCATCGGGCCGCGGTCTGACCGCGGCGTCGGCTCCTGGGACACGTCCGACGCCTGGGGCCGCAGGGCCAGCTGCCTTTGAATCAGTTCCCTCTCGACTGGGCGTTTGCGTCCATTCCCTCTCAAGGAGCGGGTCTTATGGGGGATCAGGATATTCTGACGCGCCCGGTCATCAGTGTGAACTCTGTTCTTTCGGTTCCCATGGTAGAAAGAGAAGGGCGACTGGCCCGGTGAAGCCAGGGCACTGGACCCCACCACTCGGGTTTCCTTCTCTCTGCTTTGCACGTGGGGTTGCAGTCTTTTCCCCCATTTTCTTTGGCGCTATGAAAATGTAACCTGGAACAACATCAGCTTTGCTTCATTGCACATGTATTTGAGGTTCACGTTTATTAGCGTACATACTGTATTTAAAGCATATGTAATTAGGAAATACTCTCCGAAACGCGATTTTTGAGGCATTCAGCAGAACAAAGTTAATCTTTTATTAAGCAATCTTACTGGGACATTTTGTGACTGTGGGTTTTTTTTTTTTTTTTTCTTCATTGCGTGTCTTCTTCAGCGCATATTGCCTTGGCTTATGTTTTGTCAGAGTTCCTGGGCTTAGTCTTTGTTAAGATTTTCTAAAGGGAAGATAAGAAGGGAAAAAACTTGCTCACTAAGGCACACAGCAGCAGTTTTTTAGCTCTCTAATTTGGAATTTTAAAACTGGAACTCATGCCTTGGTTTATGTTTCATTAATCTAGTAAAAAAAATCTGTTGGGCATGGCCACAAATTGTTAAATATCATCCCTCATCGCCACCAGCTTTTAAAAGAGCAGTTTGCAGAATTTTCTTGATTTTCTTGCTTACTGAGGACTGCTAAGCCTCCCAAGTTTGAGGAATGTGGTTTGATATACTTTCTGTCTTAAGTTTCTAGCACTGATCATGATACTTTTTCAATATGAAAGGGAAAAGTCTTTCAGTGTTACATAACATAGTTGAAGTGATTTTTTTTTTTCCACCCCTCCCATACTCTAAATGAAAATTCAGCATTGTTTTGATTATCAGAAGTTAGATTCTTTCTCCTGTAGATTCTCCAAAGAAACCTGTGATGGTTTAGAACCCAAGCTGTTCTTAATATTAGTGTAAGTTTATGCGTTAAGCCAACCCCACTGGCTTAAAAAGCATTAAACAAGTGAAGTTTAACAACAGCTTTCAAGCTTTTGACCCCAGTCTAACATCGATTATTTTGCATTAACTAATATTAGGCTTTTTGCTGATAAAAGTAGCAATTTTAGTAAGAGGCCCTTGTGTCTTTCAGGCCTTTTTGTGGTGGACTGGGTGTCTTGTAAGCCTCCCCAACATAGCAACTTGCTCTTCTGCTATTCATAGTGCCTATTGGTCCCTGAGTTTCTGAGTCCCTACTTGAAATATCCTTCCCCCATTGGGGCTCAGAAAATGCATTCATCCTTACAGTGCCTGATCGGGTGGCATGCATACAGTAGGTGCTAAATGCATGATTGTTGCTTTTTTTTAAATTGTTAACTGAATGATGCAATTTTTTTCCAGTCGTTGGAGTTTGATTTCATAAAGCCTCCAATATAGTGTTTTAGATAATAGTCTGTTTCCAGAACTGGAGTCAGATGATAAATTACAACATGACAACACAGAAGCAATAGTCCCATACTTGTAGTTCATGAGCTGTGCATGTTGATACCACGTCTCAGTTATAGATACTTGTATTGAGGCATATCAGATAATACAGCAGAGTAAATATCAGCATTTTTTTTCAGTTTAATACTTTTTCTTTAAAGGAGTGAGTCTTTTAAAATTAAGATATTAAATATAGTCTGGGAATTTATGTTTAGAGAAGATGATAAACTTCCAGCAATTTAGCAAAAATCAAATTGTGAAACTATTTTTAGTTTCTTTACACGAGCGTCTCAGGATTCCATTTTAGCTTATTAAAAAATTTCTTCTTAGAAATTCATTGGGGGAGATTTTTATAATCTTATAGCATATGGTAAGTACCAGTTCATCAGAGTGGTTGGGAGATTGATAATTACACTTTCAGATTAAGTAGTATGTGTTCTATGCTGTAGTATATCCCACATGTGTTCCATGAAGCAGTGTGTGGACTTAAGTACTACTACATGACGCGAGTTCCAGGGTTAAATAAATTCAGGAAATACAGAAATACAGGTTGTGTCTTCTTAATCTGAAAATCTGAAATGTTCTAAAATGTGAACATTTTTTTTTTTTTTTGGAGTCAGAGTCTCACTCAGTCATCCAGGCTGGAGTGTAGTGGCACAGTCACGGTTCACTGCAGCTTCGACCTCCTGGGTTCAAGCTATCCTTCTGCCTCAGCCTCTCTGAGTAACTGGGACTACAGGTGTACCCCACCACTCCTGGCAAATTTTTGTATTTTGTTTTTAAGAGAAAGCAGAATTTGTTGAGAAGACAGAAAAGCTCCCACAGTGGGAGGAAACCATTTTTGTATTTTTTGTAGAGATGAAGTTTCACTATGTTGTCTAGACTGGTCTCAACCCTGGACGTTCCAAAGTGCTGAGATTACAGGCGTCGGCCACTATGCCAGGCTAACCCCAAATGTGAAACTTTTTGAGTGCTGACATGATGCTCAAAGTTTCAGATTTTCAGATTAGGGATGCAGAACCTGCAGTAAGTATAATGAAGATATTTCAAAATCACCCCTTCCCTTCCTGGCAAAAATCTGAAACCCAAAATACTTCAAGTACTTTGGATAAGAGATAGTCAACGGCTACTACCTCAAAACTAAGTTCAGCAGTGTTCTGTCATGCAGGACTTGTCAGAGAACTTACTTTTTAAATCTCCAAGTGTGCAGTATTTCTTAGACCTATTTGATTACGAAGCCCTTTTCTTGAGATGTATCTTAGGCAGGCCACATGCTGAGACCTGATTCCTTATGTGAGATGCCAATATTCAAAGTACAAGAAATATACTTAACAATAAACTCAACAAATGTAATTTGCTTCTTAATGATTCCAAAGGTACTTTAGGATCTTGTACTACATTAGGCTCAGTTGTCTGTACGAACTTATTTAAGTATTACTAAAAATACTCTCTGGCTGTTTATTCATTTCAGGAGTTATAGTTTATGTGGTTACAGATAATGAATGCTGTGTTCAGTTTGAACACTTACAGTTTTGTTTATTTTTAATCAGTGTGGGTTTTAACTGTAACATTTCAATATTTTCTTGTCAGTCTTTGGTTTTGCCGTTTTTCCCTTTCCCTAGCTAGGACTTGAGTTGCTTTTGAAAGATTTGTGTGTAGTTAGAGGAGACACTATGCTCCTCCCCGCTTTTGCAGAAACCCTTTACGCTGCTGATTTAATGGCCGCCCCCCCCCACTAATCAGCT